GACGTGATGTCATGCAATGGCTTTGAGAGATTATTCTTCACCACTGGAACACAAAGTCGTTATTATTGTGGGGAGTGCAAATACATTTGACCTCAGCAACAACTGCATTTTGATTTAAGTAGAAAGAATTTTCCCTTGTCATTCTTCTTCCTCATCTTCTTCATGCTAATTATCCTAGCATTTCCATCTGAAAGTCATTGCCTGAAACCTTGCGTAACATGCAATGTTCACGTAAAAAAGAAAAACTGGATTCTCTAACGCGATCAGCTGCCTTAAAAGAAAAAAAAGAAAAAGAGGAAAGAAGTAGGATTTATTTCCCGTTACATCTAAATGGGGGGTGTCAGAAATCAAGAAATATGACATCACAAGCATGCCAAAGGCGAATAAATCTATTTTTACACACCCCCTTTACAGCCTCACGCACCAGGAAAAACTACTTAATGTATTCTAGTGTGCACCACTCTTTGAAGTGTCCCCGATGGGTGCTGGTCCTGAAGCGATTAATTGCATAGTCTTATCTGAGCGGCCCAGGACTGCTGTGGGGAGTTGGGTAAGGGTGGCGGCGGCTGGAGGGAGGGATAAACAGGGTGTGTGTGTGTGTGGGCGGGGTGTATAAATCGGCTCTTATCCCAAAGGGAGACTCCCTAGAGAGACAAAAACCTGACACACACAGACATGAACACAATTTTCTCTTCGGCACGCACATCTTTTATAGAAATCGGCATCCGCCAAGTCAGGGCCAGCTGTTAGGATGAGGCGGTAGCATCCAGAAAGAGCCCAGAGACTTTGTGCATAGGTGCAGCGTTCATGACGAGGATTTTATGGGATGTAATACACCTACACTGTTTTCCTTTGAGTTATTAATCAACCTTTTACAGCGTTAGCAAGAGAAAGGCCAGACGGCTGATGCTTCACTTTGCTAATTTGTTTACTTTCCTTAAGAGGGTACATGACAGCGGAATTAATTAGGACAAGTGGGGCCTAAATGAACAGGACAGAACAGATAAAATCAGTGAAGCAATTTTAAAATAACCTCATCAGTCAGGCTGTTACCCATACTGGATTTCTCTCAGATGATCTTGTGTGTAGACCAAGGGGTTTAACTTTCTAGAAATTAAGGTTTATCTTGAATCTTTGGAAAGAATTACAAACACACTAGATGAGGTCTGCTTTGTTTCTGCTTTTATGATCCAAAATTTTTAAATCGAGACAGACTGAATTATGAGGCCAAGCGTTTCGTCAATCAATATTTCTCAAACCGTCTGAGAGACATATTGATCTCTTCACTTATTCTGTCTCACGCAGGTCAAATGGACAAGATGAAAGGTTTCCTTCTGAGTCTCCAAAACACCAGTCTGGGCGGATGGCTTTCCTCTTCCTT